AAAAAAAAAAAATTAAAAAAAAAAAAAAAGAATCCTAGAAGAAAACCTAGGAAACACTATTCTAGACATCATCCCTGGGAAAGAATTGATGACTAAGTCCTCAGAGGCAATTGCAATGAAAACAAAAATTGACAAGTGGGACCTAATTAAACCAAAGGGTTTCTGCACAGCAAAAGAAACTATCAAGAGAGTAAACAGATGACCTACAGAATGGGAGAGAATATTCATAAACTATGCATCCAACAAAGTAAGTAATCTATAAGTAAGAAATCAACAAAATCTATAAGTAAGAAATCATCAAGCAAAAAACAACAACCCCATTAAAAAGTGGGCAAAAGGCATGACCAGACACTTCTCAAAAGAAGGCATACAAGCAGCCAACAAACATGAGAAAATGCTCATCATCACTAGTCATTAGAGAAATGCAAATCAAAACCACAACTGAGATACATTTCACACCAGTGGCCATTATCAAAAAGTGAAAAAGCAACAGTTACTGGCAAGGCTGTGGGAGAAAAAGGAATGCTTAGACACTGTATATAATTCAGACACTATGAAAAGCAATTTAGAGATTTCTCAAAGAACTTAAAACTGCCGTTCCACCTAGCAATCTCATGACTGGTTATATGCCCAAAAGAAATCATTCCGCAAAAAACACACATGTTGCCAGGCTCACACCTGTAATCCCAGCACTTTGGGAGGCCAAGGCGGGTGGATCATGAGGTCAGGAGTTCAAGACCACCTTGGCCAAGATGGTGAAAGCCCATCTCTACTAAAAATACTAAAATTAGTCAGGCATCGTGGGGGGGTCCCTGTAATCCCAGCTATTTGGGAGGCTGAGGCAGAGAATTGCTTGAACCAGGAGGTGGAGGTTTCAGTGAGCCAAGATTGTACCACTGCACTCCAACCTGAGCAACAGAGTGAGACTCTGTCTTTAAAAAAAAAAAAAAAAGACACATGCGTTCGTATGTTCATCACAGCACTACTCACAATAGCAAACACACCGAGTCAACCTAGGTGCCCGTCCACTGTAGACTGGAAAAAGAAAACGTGGTACATATCCACCGTGGAATACCATGCAGCCATAAAAAAGAATGAAATCATGTCCTTTGCAGCAACATGGATGCTACTGGAGGCCACTATCCTAGGCAAATAAATGCAGGAACAGAAAACCAAATGCCGCCTGTTCTCATAAGTGAGCGCTAAACGTTGGGTATTCATGGATATAAAGATGACAACCATAGACACTTGGGACCACTAGAATGAGGAGGCAGAGAGGCCAACCAGGGTTGAAACACTGTCAGGTACTATGCTCACTATCTGGATGACAGGATCATTCATGTCCCAAACCTCAGCATCACACATTTACCCATGTGACAAACCTGCACATGTACATTCTGAATCTAAAATAAAAGTTGAAGGTCAAGTGTGGTAGTTCACACCTGTGATCCCAGCACTGTGGGAGACCAAGGTGGGCAGATCAGTTGAGGCCAGGAATTTGAGACCATCCTGGGCAACATCGTGAAACCGCATGTCTACTAAAAATACAAAAATCAGCCAGGCATGGTAACACGTCTGTGTTCCCAGCTACTCAGGAGGCTGAGGTACAAGAATTGTTCAAACTTGGGAGGCAGAGGTTGCAGAGAGCCGAGATCATGCCACTGGACTCCAGCCTGGGCGACAGAGCGAGACTGTTCCAAAATAAATAAATATAGACAAACTTTTAAAAAGTTGAAATTATAAAAAATAAAGCAACAGGTATTTTCCTGCTTCCTAAATGAAGCAAACAGACTGGAAATTGCCAAGAGGTTTTACCTTACCATAGAAGACTTTTCCAAGGAGTTTACAAAGTATGTCTGATATGCTCTTGTTTTTATATTTACCTTAGACACAGGCAGGAAGAGACCCCGAGACCACCCTTCACAAGGTGAATTGGACACATAGCTTTTGATCATGTGAAATATTTTGTTAACTCTTCTAAGTAATACTTTATCAACAATGAACTTATGAAGTCTTTTGTGAGAAAGACTAATGATTAGATGTTTTTCAGCATTTCAGCGATCTGAAATATGAGCTGATTCCTAAAATCACTAAATAACAGGAAATAGGACTTTATACGTTTGGACCTTGTTCTTACTGCTGCTTTACCATTTCTAATCTGTAACTTTGGGCTCGTTCATTTCCTCCTGCCTTAGTTGCTTCATCTGTAAAACGGGGATAACGATAATATCTACTTCATTGGTATTGTTTTGAGGATTAAATGAGCTGATATGAAAAACTAGAAGCTCCATAAATTAAAGTTAGGTTGGTTTTTTATTTTTGTTTGTTGGGCTTTTGCTTTTTCTTTTTTTTAAATAATGTCTTGGAAAGAGGAAGCAAGGAACTGGGAATATTGATTTTTTTGGTGTGTGTGATTTTCAGTATGCAGATCTCAATCGCCATGTTGATGCCTTGAATGCGTGGAGAAATGCCACCGTGCTGAAACCAGAGCACAGCCTGGCCTGGAACAACATGATAATACTCCTCGACAATACAGGTACCGAAGGTCACAGGAGAGGGCTCCATAGTCAAGTACCACTGAAGACTTAGGAAACAGAGACTGTAGTGCCTTCTTCGTCCTGAGTTTAAAAAAACTCATAGGAAGTTAAATATTTTCTATTACAAAAATGTCTTTTCTTCGAGAAAATTGAATTTCTGGGGCTGGGCGCAGTGGCTCATGCCTATAATCTCAGCACTTTGGGAGGCCGAGATGGGCAGATCAGCTGAGGTCAAGAAATCAAGACCATCCTGGCTAACACTGTGAAACCTCGTCTCTACTACAAAAAAATTAGCCGGGCATGGTGGTGCATGCCTGTAATCTCAGCTACTTGGAAGGCTGAGGCAGGAGAATCACTTGAACCCAGGAGGCGGAGGTTGCAGTGAGCTGAGACCATGCCGTCGCACTCCACCCTGGGCAACAGGAGTGAAACTCCATCTCAGAAAAAAAGAAAATTGAATTTCTTTGGACATACTAGAATGTGAATGTCTGGGAAGTGACACTCCACGTAGAATTGGTATTGAGTAGTGAGGGAGAGGAGTGATTGTATCTTGTCTGCCAGTGGCCATCCTCTGAGGCACTGGGAGCACCTAGAAGTGAGCAAGAATGACCTTAGGGCTGATGAAATGGATGGTGCTAGGTCCATACCCGAAGTTCATGGATTTCACTCAAAGGAGCCCTTTTAGTCTACACTCCGAGCCGTGGATTCTTACCTTTTTTTTTTTTTTTTGAGATGGAGTCACTGTCACCTAGCCTGGAGTGCAGTGGTGTGATCTCGGCTGACTGCAACCTTCACCTTCTGGGTTCAAGCAATTCTCCTGCCTCAGCCTCCTGAGTAGCTGAGATGACAGGCATACACCACCACACCTGGCTAATTTTTGTATTTTTAGTAGAGACGGGATTTCACCATGTTGGTCAGGCTGGGCTCGAACTCCTGACCTCATGATCTGCCAGCCTCAGCCTCCCAAAGTGGGATCCCTTTTATATGATGCTAATCGACTTGAAGATCTGGTTTCTTATTCCTGAGCAGACCAGATTCAATCAATTAGGAGTTACTCTGCCTACCTCACTTTAAAAATCCAAACGTTCTTTAAGAAATGATGGCGTTAGGCACAGAAAGGCAAATATCACATGCTCTCACTCATGGGGTATCTGGAAAAATGGACCTTGTGGAGCTAGAGACTAGAACAATAGTTACTAGGGGCTGGGAAGGGGGCGGGGATAAATATAGGTGGGTTAATGGGAACGAACACAGAAGGCGTAAGTTCTAGTGTTCCATTGCACGGTAGGGTGACTGTAGTTAACACTTTATGATATATTTCAAAAGCACTAGAAGATTTGAAATGTTCTTAACATAAAGAAATCATCAATATTTGAGGTGATGGATGTCTTAAATACCCTGATTTGATCACTACACATTGTATGCATGTATCAAAATACCACGTTTCCCATCAATATGTACAGTTATGTGTCAATAAAAATATTTTAATGATAGTGTTAATTTGATCATCTATATGGTATAGAGCAGAAATGTGTGCTTCTAGGGAAAATACAGATGTGTACTTCAGTGTGATAAATTCTCAGTTATGAAAGTGTTGCTGTAATCCTCTTATTTTGCAGATTTGTTTGGGTATAACTAGTATCTGGGGAAAAATTAAAACTAGGTTTTAGATTGTTTTATAGAAGTTAATCAAAAGCTGTTTGTGTTGTGTCAGAAATGTGCTGAATTCAGTGGCTTTGCCACTGACAGGGTTGCACATGCGTGTGTGTGTGTGTGTGTGTGTTTGTATTACATGATCTACACAGATTTTCTTAAGTAGTTTATTCATAATTGTCATGTGCTGTGCACATAAGCCCTGTTAGTTATAGAGGTTAAAATGTAAGTACAGCATTAACATGTCTTTTATTTTTCCATTTTTTCCTCCCAGGTAATTTAGCCCAAGCTGAAGCAGTTGGAAGAGAGGCACTGGGATTAATACCTAATGATCACTCTCTCATGTTCTCGTTGGCAAACGTGCTGGGGAAATCCCAGAAATACAAGGTGCGTGAACCGCAGGCTGTGATTTCTTGCAGCTAATACCAGCATCTGACAGAAGCCGTAAGTGTTACTTCTGCCCAGTTAAATTCAGAATCAGGCCAAAACAGTGGCAGCGGTGCACCAGTGTGGCTTGGCCAGTTTGTTCCCTAGAAAAGTTGCTTCAAAGACAGCGACATGGGGCCAAACCCAGTGTCCTTTCTCATCAGAATTAACCACTGTTGTTCACACGTGGAGAGAGGGAGAGAGGACCAAGGAAAGGGGCAGAGCAGGCAGGGAGCTGTGGAATGGCTGAAGTCAGTGGCCTGGCAGGCTGGTGCAGGATTTGAGACAGCCACGGTGCATGCCCAGAGGTACCCCTGCCCTGGCACAACGGGGTAAGCCTCTTATCACTTGCACGTGGGCTGGGGCTCTGGGTTTTATCTGCAGGTTCTGTCTTCTGCACAAAAGAGTAACCGGCCCATGGAGAATGCATGACTGGCTCTTGCTGCTTCCAGAGTTTTCTTTATCTGAGTTATATAGGCCATCATCAAGGCCCAGAGTTTTCTGACCAACAAAAACCACAAGATGCTAAATCTTTGCTCCAGTTGGCAGCCAGGGTGGAGCAGGAATAGGCTGTGTGTAACTCCCTGTGTGTTGAAGGTAACTGGTTGTAAACTTTGTCTATTAGACACCACGGGAGCTTGATAAAGCAGAGATGCCCAGATTCTCCCTGCGAGGGATTGTCTTCGTGGGTTAGGTCAGATCAGGAAATAGGATTTTTAACTAGCATCCTGGGTGTTGAACACAGATACCACAGAAGTAGTGCCTTAGTCCTTTCTTAAGAGAAAAACTTTATTTCAGAATCAGGGGCTACATCTTATTTCGATCACTCAGCTGGTGTGTAAGTCCTAAAGGCAGCAACTAGCTAATAGCTGTTAAGTAGCTAAGTAATTGCAAAATGATGGAATGCATCTCTCATTTGGCCCCAATTTGTTATTCACTTCTCTTTTTCTGTTTATACATGTCATCAGTATAATTTTCAATAACAATAGTAAGATAATTTCATGCGTTTCTCTAGTTTTACAATGTCGGGGAGTTGAATAGCTTCACTATATACATTTTTTAAATTTCTAGATTTTGCTCCAGAAATAGCTTTTTGAAGAGGGTTTAGTTTTATTTTTTGTGAATCTACTTATGTAGCAGGGGAAGGAGGTGAGGTTTATAGGTTTCCCTTGTAATGACCTTTCCAGCCATCTGTCAGCCTGGGACAGGTCCCAAGTCTCAGTTCTCCTCCAGTGACCCAGCTACAGCCAGTCTTCTTGAAGCTTGGCTTATATAATCATTGTATTGATTTTTCTATCATCCCACAGTCTGTAAACTGCTGGAATTTCTGTTAAGGAGATAGAACCCAGAGTTCATTTGGCTTCCACTTCACGTTGTTCTTTCTTTTCCCCCTCAAATAAAGTAGAAAATACTCTATAAAGCAAAATGGAGAAATCAGCTTCTTCTTTCTCTACATATTTTGCATTTTAATTATCAAGGCCAAGGCACTAGGCCTAAGATAAGGAAACAGGTGATGAAATCTGAAACACAGAACTCACGATGAGCTCTTCAGCAGCTACCAAGTGTGGGGACATGATGTGACTTCCTGAGCCATGGCATCAGCCACCAAGGAAGCGTTCGGTGTATTTTTTTAATTAAGGGTTTGAATTTTAAACAACTATTTAGGTTTTCCTCTCGTAATGCAAAAATGATACTGGTTGCTAATGGTCAGCTGCATCCCTGGCAGTGCTTCTTTCAGGATGTAGTGAAAGGGCCTGTTTCCTGGCAAAGCACTGGGCGGGATGTTCCAGAGAAGAGGGATGTGGCAGTGAGTTGCAGGGCCTCCAGCCCAGCTATCTTGATGGCAGGGCAGGTGTCTGCTGCCCGACAACTCACTTTTTACCCATGCGCTTGCTGTTTTATATATTATGCACTTGGTAAATCTCCTTAGAAAGCCTGGAGGCTTCTTGAGGTTGGATCTGAGCCTTCAGTCCTGGTTTGGTATCTCCATTGCTGTCGGGCAGTTACGAAGCACGCAGTTAAGTAGTTGTAAAATGATCAAATGCATCTCTCATTTGGCCCTGAAACGTTCAGGCTTCCAGAACCTGTTTTGAGATGTTGATGTGCAGAGTGGGTGTTCTCATTATATCTGTGGTTCTAGGCACCTTTTTTTTTTTTTTTGAGAAGGAGTCTCACTCTGCCTGTTGCTCAGGCTGGAGTGCAGTAGCAGTATCTTGGCTCACTGCAAGCTCCGCCTCCCGGGTTCAAGCAATTCTTCTGCCTTAGCCTCCTGAATAGCTGAGACTACAGGTGCATGCCACCACGCCCAGCTAATTTTTTGTATTTTTTAAGTAGAGATGGGGTTTCACCATGTTAGCCAGGATGTTCTCCATCTCCTGACCTCATGATCCACCTGCCTCGCCCTCCGAAAGTGCCAGGATTACAGGCATGAGCCACTGCGCCCAGCCCTAGATACCTTTTAACCCCATCTGAGCAGTCATTTTTAAAACCTAACCACAGTCACTTAGCCTCTCTGGGCCTCAGTTTGTTCATTTGTAAAATGGAGATAGTGATCTGCCCAACCTCTTGACAGGGTGATACAAAAACATGCACAAGAACATAATTTGCAACTCTCAAGTGGTTCATGTGCATATACATATATATACACATACATATATATTTTTTAGTTTAGTGATCATTCAGTGACTCTCTAGGTATCATTAAAATGTGTTACAATTTATGTTACTTCTTGCCATTTAATTTCCAATTTCAGGCTAATGTGGTAAAGCAAAAATATAAAAGGAATGTTTTTCAGTGCTTACAGCATTGCTTCCTGTGCTGATTTCTTTTTCTGAAGTGGTAATTCCAGTGGGCCTGTAGCTTAAGAGCAGTTTATGTTGTTAGAGTCAGTTTCCCAAACTTCAGACATTTACGTCACACCTTTATGATTTTTTTATTTTTTGCCACATCTAGATGTTACCTGACTTATTTACTTGATATTTTTATTTAAATAGATTTTTAACATGAATATATTTAAAGGAGAAACATTGCATCATTACTATAAATACAGGGTAACTGAAAGTGAAATAATCATACTAAGTCCCAGCCAGATACTGTTGCTGGCCAAGGCTCTAAGCCAGAGGATCACCCTCTCTCAGCTTCAAGGAGAGATTGGCAGGTGTGTTAGAGAGTGGGACCCACACACCACCACCCAGTGCAGACTTCAGCCCCGATGCAATCAGAAGGAAGAAAGGAGAATAGAGAATAACTCTCTTCCTGCGTGATTCATGGTTTCAACTTCACATCAGGTCACCCGTGTTACCCTTCCTATTCTAGCAGAGGCTCAGCGACCCCTGTGCCCCAGAGCACTCTTGGGTGGCTGCTGTGGCTGAAATGACCTCCGCCCACCCGGGCTTCCTCACCTGGACGTAGAGACTGGCGCTTGTTTCTACCTAGAGACACAATTTGCAAGGCTTTTCTCAGTCCCACACCTTTGTTGAATACATTTTGTCTAATATACTTGCAAAAATAATACGTTATTTTTCCCCTTTACACTGGAAAAAAAATATCCCTGACTCTAAGGTGAGTTTATTGGTTCATTGGCATAAATCAGCTCATTGCCTGGGTCTTTACACACCTAAAGACCTCCACAGATCAATTTATAAATAGTTCACTGCTTTCCTGGATGGGGCCATTGGAAAGCCTGATTTAATAGATGAACATTTCATGGGCTTTGAATACTCACAGATGCTGCGTTCTAAAGAGGCCCCTCCAATCCCTGCTCCAAGGCCCAGGTACGGGCACAGGGGCTGCCCCCGTGACCTGGAGAGAGCCAGGCCACCCTTCACCTCCCCTCAAACCAGCGCTTCCTCCTGACACACCTTCTTTTGTCCACGTGGTGTTGTGTTTCTGTTGCCCTGACTTGGAAATCTTGACTCATGTTTCCTCCCTTGTCCCCTGGCCCAGTGCTCTCTGTCTGTTCTTCCTCATCCTGGTTCCTTCACACTGGCCTCCTGCAGAGCTTGGGCCCCACCCTGCTGAGAGCAGTGGCCCTCTAACAGAGTCAACTCTGAGCCCTTCCCTGTCTTCTGCACCACTGTGTCCCCCAAACTGCTGTCTCCTTGATGTCCTGAATGATGTTTGCCCTCACAGGCCATCTGAGAAGTTAGCTGAATTTAGCAACCCTAGAAAACTCCTAACTCTATGCCTAACCATTTTTCTCTAATTAACACTACTTCATTTACAGGTAGGGAAGCATTTTTAAGGAAATGTGGTTCCCTAACCTTTTTGTGTCTCAAGTTTTAGGTTTTAAATGGAAATGTTTAAAAATCATCAGAGACAGCCTATGACTCAGAAATCACTGTAAAACTACACAATCCATTTGATGTTTTTTCTGCAGCCTACCTGATACAGCTGGAGTCTTGACCCTCTTGGAAGGAGTTTCAGCCCCTGAAACTTGGAATATAGACACTGACTTTTAACTGACATCCCATATTTTGTCCTGATGTCTTAAGTCCCTCTTGGATGACATTTCTGAAATACAAGTGTTTCTCTGCCTGCTCTGTCTAAAAGGTTGTGGTTTTTGAGATGGTCACCCACATTCCCAGCCGATTTCTCAGGAGTACGATGGGCCATAACAGGGCAAAGGAACCGGTGGTCTTGTACATTATAAAATGCACAGTCCCAGATGTGGGAAGCCCACCTGGAGAAATTTATGTGTGGCCCAGATAGAAGGCACAAAAACTATCCCCACACCAACAGATTTGGTTGGTTAAGCTCAGTATGTGATACCGATTTTTTTTTTTTTTTTTTGAGTCTTGCTCTGTCGCCCAGGCGGGAGTGCAGTGATGCGATCTTGGCTCACTGCAGCCTCTGCCTCCCCGTTCAAGTGATTCTTCTGCCTCGGCCTCCTGAGTAGCTGGGATTAAAGGCCTGCACCACCGCACCTGGCTATTTTTTGTATTTTTAGTAGAGATGGGGTTTTTCACTAGATTGGCCAGACTGGTCTCAAACTCCTGACTTCAAGTGATCTGCCCACCTTGACCATCCAAAAGATTAGGATTACAGGTTAAGCCACCACGCCCAGCATGTGATATTGATTAAAACATGATGCCCTTTAGGAATGTGTAGGTAGGTGGAGTGAACAGTGCCCCGCCACCCCCACTCCGGGCACATGTCAATAAAAACAGGTAGGCATCTTTATTTCTCAGCATTACGGTAGAAAGGGACCAGCCAGCCAACAGTTTTTAGCAGTGAACAGGGTAGAAAGACACTCTGCTCTGCTTCTTGGTGGCCAGGTTGGAAGTGAGTATGACTTGGAAGAAATGCAAGGCCGCTCAAGAATCAATTCACACCCATCAGGGGCATTTGGTCATGGTCATGTCCAGTACCGCAACAATGTCGATGACAGGTGGCCATTCCTTCCTCATTTTCTGCTCATTCTTTCCAGATGAATGGGGCTGCTTCTGGGCTGCCCAGCATGTTGTAGGTTCTTGTGGGAGAGGAAATGGGCCTCGACTCCTACCCTGAGAGCTCTGGAAGTGAGTTTCCTGGTGCCAGCTGGAAGAGGCATTGGCGTGGGTGTGCTCCAGGGCTCAGCCCTCTCCTGTTCACCGGGCTTCCTGTCATCCTCACACACCCTGCCCTAGGTGACTTGCATAACGTTGCAGAAGTCCAACCACTGCAGGGAGGCAGGTGGTGACACTCACAAGCATGTTCATCCCCTCTCTGCAGCCACCACTCCCTCCTGCTGCCCCTTGTCAGCCTCTCTTTGGCAGAGTATGGCCCTGCTGGGCCTTCTGAATGTTTCTGGAGGAATGCAGTGGTACAAAAAGAGGTTAAAAGTTTGAAAACCATAGGTGATAAAACTGGGAACCGCTTTTGCTTCATGTACAATAAATAGCTTCCTTTTTATGTTTTTCATTTTTTAGGAATCTGAAGCTTTATTCCTTAAGGCAATTAAAGCAAATCCAAATGCTGCAAGTTACCATGGTAATTTGGGTAAGAAAAATGTTCACTTGAATCGTTGAAATTCTATGTTACTTTAATGAAGTGGGTGCATGTCTATAAAATTAAAGTTGGGACAGTCGTTTTTTTCAAAGCTAGCATGGCTTTAAAATTTGGCTCTGCTATTACATTAAAAAGATAGCAAAGTGACAGCCACACTTTCAAATCTTAATCACATGACCAGAACAGCCACAAAGTTGCCCACTCTGTTTATCACCTTCTCATGAGTAAACTCAGATTGTCCTTCTTTGTGTTAAACTGAGAAAGATGAGATTGGCTTAAGAGAATGAGGCTATGGTTAGGAAGAGTTCTCCTACTAAATTAATCATAGGTGCTTTGGAAGCTTGCCATTGAACTTACCTCTTTTTCCTTCCTTTTTACAGAGTAGACCTTCCCCTTCTAGCCTGGCCTTTCGTATAGCCCCTTATGTCTTGGCTAACATGCATTTATAATCATTTATTCCCTAGAATTCGTTTCTTGCATTTTTGCGTCTCCATGGTTAAGATGTTTAGAACATAGCATGTTGATGTTAAAATGCTCAGTCACAGAAATGTTTTGCACCAAAGCTGTTCTCTGCCAACTCTGAAGCTTCTCTTCACAAGTCAGAAAGCGTCCACAAGTGATCTTCTGCCCATATAGAAAGTTAGTCTTACTAACAAAATCAATGTAATGATCAGAGGCTAATCATCCAAATGATTATTGTAATTATCATTTTAGGGTCAGCTCTTGATATTAGACTTAATTTCCAAATGGCCCCAAAAAGCTATCACTTCACCAAATGATGTAGGGAAATATCTCTTTAAAATAAACATCTGAACTTCTGCATGGTCAGCTCTAGGCAGTACCTAGCATCCATCACCCCTCCTCCCACACCCAGCCTGGCTTCCTGGAACTTTCATGGCAGCACTGAGACATTGAATGTACTCTTCTTTTTACTTCTTTATGTAATAATGTGACTGTAGGCAGATGTACCTTATCTAGTGCTCTGAAGAGCCCTAGGAGTAACTGGCAATAGTTAAATGGATAATCACCAGGGAGTGTGATTACAATAAATAAGGTTTTCAGTACAAACAATATTGTTTTATACAATTGACTTTAGAAAACTGTTTACAGAGGATCTGTAATATTTCTTTGTCCAAGAGGGCAGGAATATGGCACATTACTCAGAAGCATTCCCACTGAAATTCATCTCCTGCTATTTCAGCTGTGCTTTATCATCGCTGGGGACATCTAGACTTGGCCAAGAAACACTATGAAATCTCCTTGCAGCTTGACCCCACGGCATCAGGAACCAAGGAGAATTATGGTCTGCTAAGAAGAAAGCTAGAACAAATGCAAAAGAAAGATGTCTGATCCTTTTTCCTTCACGTTTTGAGTTTGAGTGTGTGTGTGCATGAGGCATATCATTAATAGTATGTGGTTACATTTAACCATTTAAAAGTCTTAGACATGTTATTTATTTTATTGATTTTTCTATGAAAACAAAGACATGCAAAAAGATTACAGCACCAGCAATATACTCTTGAATGCTTGATGTGACTTTTGCATTGAAATTGTATTTTTTCAGACAACTCAAATGTAATTCTAAAATTCCAAAAAGTCGTCTTTTTTTTAATTAAACAGAAAAAGAGAAAAACTATCTTGAGCAACTTTGAGTAGAATTGAACATACATTTAGGATCTGAGCCTTGTCGTGTATGGACCAGCAAGCACTACTAAACTTCAGTTATGGCCGAGAAAGGACAGGCTGACTCCTGCAATTTGTCTAAATAATGAACATGTCTGTATATTAGCATTTTTATTTAATGACAAAACAAATTAAGATTCTTGTTTTTTATCTCTTTTTTTAAACAATATACTATGAACCGCGTTTGTAAGGAAATATTTATTTGTATTTTTATGTTTTGAATAGGGCAAATAATTGAATGAGGAATGGAAATTTTAACGTTAGTGTATCTATTTGCTTATCCCCATAGGAAGAAATCGACTCTTGCAGTAGTTTTTGAATGCTCTGACTTGTGCAATTTCAATATATAGGAGGTTATATATAATGTTTTACATAGACAGTTACTATCAATAGAAAGTTGAAGCCACACTTTAGGCAAGAGCAGGCAGCCTCACATCTTTATTTTTGTTACATCCAGGGTTAAGAGGGCAACACATCTATGTAAGCTGCTTTTTAGTGTTTTTAACTGTAAAGCCATTTTCCATTCCGATTAATGAAACTACAGACATTATCCGGAAAATGCAAAATTTTCTCTCAAATGGAGCCACATTCGGGAAATTTGTGGTATTTTTAGGAATTGAGTTGTTCCTGCTGTTTTATTTCATCCAAACAATGTTTTGTTCTTCTGTGTATGCTGTTGACCGAATGATTTCTGCAATCTCTATAATTTCTTACACAGTAAAATTATTACACTAACTAGCATGAAAATGCCATATTGCCTTCTTAATCAATGATTTTTAAGTAGTGAACTTTGTATCCTCCTTTACCTTAAAATGAAATCAAAGTGACCAGATCATCGTTTATGTGGCTTCTGTTTGACTTGGGGACCATTTCATAGAATTACAGTACAGACGGTGGCTCACGCCTGTAATCCCAGCACTTTGGAGGCCGAGGCGGGTGGATCATGAGGTCAAGAGATCGAGACCATCCTGGTCAACATGGTGAAATCCCGTCTGTACTAAAAATACAAAAAATTAGCTGGGCATGGTGGCAAGTGCCTGTAATCCCAGCTACTCAGGAGGCTGAGGCAGGAGAATTGCTTGAACCCTGGAGGCGGAGGTTGCGGTGAGCTGAGATCGTGCCATTGCACTCCAGCCTGGGTAACAAGAGCGAAACTCTGTCTCAAAAAAAAAGAATTGCAATATAGTGTTAACCAAGTTCAGAGAACAGAGTGACCAGATCCACACTGAGAGGAATTTGATTCTCTGGACTCACTTTCTGGGGGCAGATCTGTGTAGAGTTGTAAGTTAGTAATTGTAACTTCTGGTGGTTGAAGTATATCAAGAAATAAAGTGGTGTGTTTCAAATATTTCTTTTTTTTTTTTTTTGAGATGGAGTCTTGCTCTGCTGGAGTGCAATGGCACCGTCTCAGCTCACTGCAACCTCCAACTCTCGGGTTCAAGCAATCCTCCTGCCTCAGCCTCCTGAGTGGCTGGGATTACAGGCATGCACCAGCACGCCTGGCTAATTTTTGTATTTTTAGTAGAGACGGGGTTTCACCATGTTGGCCAGGCTGGTCTCAAACTCCTGACCTCAAGTTATCCACCCTCCCCGACCTCCCAAAGTGCTAGGATTACAGGTATGAGCCACCACATGCAGCCTTCAAATATTGCTTAAATGGTTCCAAAACAACAGTAATAATTTATAGCTCTCTTTAGTGGCAAAGACCAACTTTCTCTTATTTATGTTCTTATAGTGCTTCACTGGTCATATAATAGATGCACTGTATGCTTTGTTGACTTTTTTAAAGCAGATTTCTTTTTTTGAAACAGTGCTTGTCTATTGAGAGTAAAGAAAAAATTTCTTACAAAAGCCCCTTCAGGCTTCTTATTTTTTTTTTTTTTTTTTTGGTACCGATTCTAAAACTAGTGTCAAATCAAGATGTGCAAATCTGGATCCCTGCCTACCGATAAATTCCCTTAGCTTTCACTGCTTCAGCTCCCAGCATTTCCATTGTAGCTGTTTTCTTTCCAGAGAGCACAGTGATTGATTTGATTGATACTTCAGGAAGTCTTTGATCTCTGCAGATTCTGGAAGCATGCCACGCTAGCTCTCTTTTCTTCTTTTTCCATCTTAAGGCAGCCACCCTCTTTGTTTCTTGGGCTTCCTTTCCAACCAGACTGAAGTGGAAGGCCGCCTGGCAGTTCTTCTCTTATTTCGTGTCTTTTACTATTTTAATGTTTTTATTGCTAATGACAGTTGGGAGGCAGGAGTCAAAACAAACATGGGGAAATCGCTAGTTTGGGAAATCTCATCATCCTTCTTTTCCTTGATAGCAAACATCATCAAATCTGGAAAGAGCGTTGGAGTTGGGTGTTGGTTTGTTGGGTGGTTTAACATATGTACCACATGTGAAAATGCAACGCTTCTTTCCTGTTCTTGTTTGGATTTTTTAAAATTTAAATGCAGGTTTACATTTGTTTCTCTCCAAGTTCATCCTGTCAGACATAGCCTGCAGGCCTTCACTAGCCCCGGTGAGGTTCTCGTTCTATCATGTGGCTTACAGATGTTCTTTTCTTTTCTTTACTTTTTTGAGCCAGGGTCTCACTCTGTCCCCCAGGCTGAAGTACGTTGGTGCGATCTTGGCTCACTGCAGCCTCTGCCTGTCTCCCAGGTTCAAGTGATTCTCCCACCTCAGCCTTCTAAGTAGCTGGGACTACAGGCACACACCACCATGCCTGGGTAATTTTTATATTTTTTGTAGAGGCGGGGTTTTTCCACGTTGCCCAGGCTGGTCTCAAACTCCTGGGCGCAAGTGACCTGCTTGCCCTGGCTTCCCAAAGTGCTGGGATTACAGGTGTGAGTCACCGCACCTGGCCATTCTTTACATTTTATTTCATATTATTGACAAAATACCAGAACAGGGAGAGCCCTGTACCAAAGCACTGGACATATATTTCCATACTCACACCCAACCAGCCTGGACTTTGGGGTGAGAAAACCCAGACTTGTGGACCTTGGGCTCTCCCACTGCAGTATCATAGGTAAGACACTGAGCATTGCTCAAACCCAATTCTCATCTGTACAGTGGGGATAAGATGATTCCTCATAGCCATAACAGAGAGCCTTGAGGATCCTCCATTATGTGATAGGTTGGATTTTTGAAAGAGGGTCTCTGTTGGGAGTAGACAGATCTGGCCTTAGATACCCTTACTCCCCATTCACCCAACACATACTAAGTGTCTGCTATGTACCAGATACTATCTTAGGCTGTCTAATTACTAAGGTGGGTGGAAGAAGTCACGGTCTCTTATCCTTAGCAGTGGACAGTCCAGTGAGAAAAAGGAATGATCAAAGAGTCGTATGAGGAGAGAGGCCTGTTCCAACTTGGAGAGTGAGGAAAGGGCTCCCTGGGAAGTTGGCTTCCAGATGGAGATTGATAGGCAGGGGGAGGAAGGACACTCCAGGCTGATGATCTCCAGGTGGGGGGCATTTGACAATGCCTGGGGGTATTTTTGATTGTTACAACTGATTGGAAAGTGCTGGTGGGGAGAGATGCTGCTGCTGTACATGCGATATGTGCAGGACAACCCCCCACAAAAATTACCTGGCCCAAAACATCAGTAGTCCCAAGGTTGAGAAAACCCCGACTACACAGAAGCAATAGCATCTGCAAAGGCCCTGCCATGAGAATGATGAACTCTGAGGAGGCTGGGGAGGGTGCTTGAGAAGGCTGGCCTTGGTGATGATCCAGCTCATACAGGGTTCACAGACCACGTGGTGCTTACCTTAAACTAGGGGAGAATCCAAAGCAGGTCAGTGACATGATCCAAGTTAGTGAGGTTTTGACAAGGTCACTCGGCTGGTGGTGAGAAGGGAACTGGAGAGAGGCTAAGAGGATGTGGGCAGAGCACCCAAGAGACCATCCCAGGTGTCCGGCGTTGAGATGAAGGTGACCCTGTGCAGCCCAGTGGCAGTGGAGCTGGAGAAATGTGGATAGATGGGAGTAATGATAAGGAGTCAACTAGTGATGGACGGGAGGTGGGTGGTGGGGGAATGAGAGGTGCTAAATGCAATTCAGCACAAGCCACTGAGGGAGAAGCTGGCCTTAAACTAGAGAGAGAAGGTTCTTGAGAAGTAAAAGATAGAGCACCAAATCACCTGTTTGGCCCTACAAAAGAGAAAATAGGGCTCCCGTGTGTTATGAGGTCCAGATGGGAACAGATGTAGGCACCTCTGCACACATACAGTTGGCCAAGGCCCAGTTGCAGCATTCAGTGGTCATATTACAAGAAGTTCCACCTCTCCGACTCTCAACTTCACATTTAAAAAAAAAAAAAAAAAAAAAAGGCCGGGTGCAGTGGCTAATACCTATGATCCCAGCACTTCAGGAGGCCAAAGCGGGTGGATCACCTGAGGTTAGGAGTTCAAAACCAGCCTGACCAATACGGTGAAACTCTGTCTCTGCTAAAAATACAAAAATTAGCCAGGCATGGTGGTGGGCACCTGTAGTTCCAGCTGCTCGAGAGGCTGAGACAGGAGAATTGCTTGAACCCGGGAGGTGGAGATTGCAGTGAGCTGAGATCACACCACTGCATTCCATCCTGGGCACCAGAGTGAGACTCCGTCTCAAAAAGATAATTTTTTTTTTTTAAAAAGCAGGCAATGTCTAATTTGCAAGGTTGTTGTAAAGGTGCAAGTTAATATAAAATGTCTACAGCTGTCCTGTCCAATAAGGTAGCCACTCACCACACATGGCTGGTGAGCACTTGAAACGTGGCCAGTCCACATCAAGATGTGCTATAAACATAAAATACACACTGGATTTCGAAGACCTGGCATGAAAGATTAATGTGAAATCTCAATAATGTTTATATTGATTACATGTTGAAATATTTTAAATACATTGGGTTAGATAAAACATTAAAATTATTTTCCCCATTTTTTAAACTTTTTAATGTGGCTACCAAATTTAAAATTACATCTATGGCTTGCTTTGGAGCTCACTTGATATTTCCAATAGGTAGCGCTGATCTAGAGTATAGTAGGAAATGGGTATACGGTACCTGCCTCACAATCTAATTTGTGTGATTTATTTTTCTTTCTTTTTTTTTTTTTTTTTTTGAGATGGAGTTTTGCTCTTGTTACCCAGGCTGGAGTGCAATGGCGCCATCTTGGCTCACTGCAACCTCCGCCTCCTGGGTTCAAGTGATTCTTCTGCCTCAGCCTCCCTATTAGCTGGGATTACAGGTGCTTGCCAACACGCCCAGCTAATTTTTTGTATTTTTAGTAGAGAAGGGATTTCACTATGTTGGGTGAGGCTGATCTCAAACTCCTGACCTCAGGTGATCCACCCACCTTAGCCTTCCGAAGTGCTGGGATTACAGGCATGAGCCACTGCGCCTGGCCTAATTTGTATTTTTAAAAAGAATATTTATTGCATCTAATTATTCCAATCTAATTAACATTTTCATTCTCATACTCCTACAAGATCTCATCTCATCATCAAAGATGTATTTCTCATCTTTGTCCCTAAGGCTTTCCTAAGTGGACCAGTCTGATGCCCTTTGGAAAACTGGATTCTGTAGGCCTATCGTGATTACATTATAAACTCTTCCTTATAGACTAATTATAGCTAATATATGTTGAAAGAATGGAAATTAGGAAATCATCCTTTTTTTTCTGGTCCCCAATGAGCCAATTGATTCAAGCAAAGGTCAGCAACAAATAAAATCATTAGATGAAAGGTTGATGGGGAACTGCGCTGGAGGAACAAGGTTGTCACCAGCTGAACCCACCAACCAATTTCTTTTTTTTTTTTTGAGATGGAGTCTCACCCTGTCACCCCGGCTGTAG